ACTAACAAGAGATATATATTCTATCTATTAATTATTAGTAATAGCTATTGTGAACTTACAGTTTGACGCATTATGTTGGTTCATTGCGGAAGCCAGCAGGCCCATTAGGAGTTTGGTCTCTAGGTTCCCGACACTTCTAGAAATGAACCAAAAATACCTATATTCTTCATTCGGTTTTTTCATTTTTTATTGTTGCACCATTCAATAAAACGCGTGTATAGCTTCTCATACCTTTCTTAAGACTTCGTTGGTGATAACGCATCTATATCAAATCCCTATAGCTAGAAGTTTTTGATCACATTGTGGCATTTCCACTGAATCGAAAATGACAGTAACGCTGTGTCTGTCACTTCGACAATTTCAAACTTATTTGAGGTTTGATTGGCATGACAAATTGACGTTTCCCGTCAGATCAATCCAAATCTATAGGGCGATTTTTATAATAATCCATTTTTATTCCTCAATATTTCTTGATTTTTACAATAAATAGTGCAATTTGATGGATGATTCTGAACATACATACTTAATACTGCAACAAACAAACTTAAACTTTTATATTCCATCACCAACCACTTATATTACTAGCGATCTTATCATATCTTTGTTTCCCGCACTAGTGTGGGAAAATTTGCCCGCACTGTTGCGGAAAAATGACACTTCCCAAACTAAATTGCGTGCGGGTATAAGGTGAATCACGCACGCTTGTAGAAAATAGTAATTTTCCTAACAAGTGCGGAAAGTGAATCTTTCCCGCACGTGACTGCCGTTGACACGAACGACGCGAAGCGGAGTTCGGGCAAGCAGTCGAGTGCGGGAAAGACACTTTCCGCATGAGTTAGGAACAATATTTTTTCTACAAGCGTAGGAAATTGATTGAATCGTTCAATTAATTATTCAAGCAAATAGGAACAACTAACAAGAGATATATATATTCTCTATCTATTAATTATTAGTAATAGCTATTGTGAACTTACAGTTTGACGCATTATGTTGGTTCATTGCGGAAGCCAGCAGGCCCATTAGGAGTTTGGTCTCTATAGGTTCCAGACACTTCTATGAAATGAGCCAAAAATACCTATTCTTCATTCCGTTTTTTCATTTCTTTATTGTTGCACCATTCAATTAAACGCGTGTATAGCTTCTCATACCTTTCTCAAGATTTCGTTGGTGATATTAACGCATCTGTATCAAATCCCTATAGCTAGAAGTTTTTGATCACATCACTGGCATTTCCACTGAATCGAAAATGACAGTAACGCTGTGTCTGTCACTTCGACAATTTCAAACTTATTCGAGGTTTGATTGGCATGACAAATTGACGTTTCCCGTCAGATCAATCCAAATCTATAGGGGGATTTTTATAATAATCCATTTTTATTTCTCAATATTTCTTAATTTTTACAATAAATAGTGCAATTTGATGGATGATTCTAAACATACATACTTAATACTGCAACAAACAATCTTAAACTTTTATATTCCATCACCAACCACTTATATTACTAGCGATTATATCATATCTTTGTTTTCCCGCACTAGTGCGGGAAATTTTTTCCCGCACTAGTGTGGGAAAATTTTCCCGTACTGTTGCGGGAAAATGACACTTCCCAAACTAAATTGCGTGCGGGAATAGGGTGAATCACGCACGCTTGTAGAAAAAATATTTTACCAAATAATTTTCCGGAATATAAAAAATCTAGTTGGCACATTCATTTTTCGAAGCTTGAATTATTAAATGTGAAGCTTATCATGAGGAGATCAGAAATTTTCAATACCATTGGAATGAAATATTATCGGAAATGAATATATAGGAGAAGTGGAATTTTCCATGCATTGAAAGTGCTATGATCGGTGAGTAGTGTATTTTATGGATTCTTCGTTTCCAAGAGTATTCCGAAAGTTTTTCATACAGCGAACTGAACCAAAAATGACTGGTACACAAGTTATCAAGTGCTGATCCATGAATCCATGGCAAGGTTGAGTTGAAAAGAATTAAAACTCTCACATGCCAACGAGCATGCCAACTAATTCTTTTTTCATTCTGCAGAATTATTTGATGAAAAATTATTCGATTGTCAATTTGAAATAACTAGAGTCAATAAAAATGTCAATACAGAGGTTTTATGCCTATTATATAGGTTCCGAAGAATAAGAGCGAATATACAGTGCCCGTCTACCCAGATAGCACAAATCCCTTTTGAGGCCCTTCTGAGGCGTTCACAATCATGTCCTCAGGACGTCGAGAGCGAGCCTGAGGACATTCTCAAGACGTCCTCCTGTTACCATTCTCTACATACTAATAACGTCTCAGAACATCCCTATAAAATCTTTTGAGACAACCTCAGGACATCATGGTAACAACTTGAGGCGGTTTTTGATGATGTTTCAAGGAGGTTCAAGATTTATGGGAGAATATTATTCGTATACAGAATGAGTCACTATAGTGTGTTCTCCTCCGATATTAGCCAAACCGTCAGATATATAAAATGAAAATTCAAGTACAACAGTAATAGGGTTTCATAAGAACAATCACCTAAAGTTGTTTTCATATCTATAGGGTGTTCGAATTCCAAGACATCTGTTGATGATTGGTTTTTTTAAATGGAACACCTTGTATATTATTGCATTTTTGAGTTTTCCCTGAAGAGTTGATTCCATCAATGCATCACACTTGGTGTCTAGTGGAAATTATTACAGAGATATAGGGTGTTGACAATTGAGATTCTTCAAATGTAGGATTTTTTGTGTTGAAACTATTCATTAATGGTCAAAACGGCTCACATGTTCCTGTCATAACTTTTGATTAGCTATCTACTGATATTTATTTGGAACAGATACAATAAGCTGATCAGTATTCTGAATGTTAACCCACCCTCTATTTGTTCCGATTGAATGTCAGTAGATAGTAAATCGAAAGTTTATAAGGATACGTGAGCCGTTTTGACCAATATTGAATAGTTTCCACAAAAAAAATCTTTTTTTTGAACACCCTATATCTCTGTAATCATTCCCGCTAGACCCCAAGTGTGATACATTGATGGAATCAGCTCTTCAGGGAGAACCTAAAAATGCAATAGTATACAGGGTGTCCCATTTGGAAAAAAACAATCATCAGTCAATATATCTTGGAATTCGAACACCCTACAGATATATATGAAAACAATTTAATGTGAAAGTTCTCATGAAACCCTATTACTGTTGTACTTGAATTTTCTCTATTTATCTGATGGTTTGGCTAATATACAATAAGGATAACACACTATTGACTCACCTTGTATTATGCAAATTAATTTCTTCAAAATAATATGGATCTCATGATGTTTGCAAAATTTCCCTCTATTTATAATAGGTTCAAATGAAAAACCAAATGAAAAACTTACATTCTATTATTTATAACTTATTCTGAAAAATTTCAATTTCCTTTTCAAAGAAATGTATTTCAGCTTTTTGTTGAGCACTACTAGAAGTTATTGCCTATTGATAGTTATATTTCTCCATGTTGTTTTCGATTTCTGAACTCTGGACATTCCTGATGCAGAATAATCAACTGGAAGTTGAAGCCTTCATGCAATATTTTATAGATTCTGAAGAAGCAAAACTATCTTGGAATAAAAATATCATCAGGTTTGTGTTTTGCATAACCTTCTGAAACAAACAATGTATTAATATTCCATGTCCAGTACTTACTATCAATGATATGATTTATGTAGTTATAGGTACCAACCATTATTGAATCTACTGAAAGTTCAAGTCTGCATATGTACAATCTTTCATAATTTCCAAAGAAGCCAAAATATCTTGGAATAAAATACCTCTGCTCTGATGATATCAGTAGTCATGGCGTTACCTTTGGCACCCCCCACCACTACCACCCTAGGGGGGCGGAGCTTAGGTGGGGATGGGCGGGGCCTAGCAGGTGAGGTGGAGCTTGGAGGGGATGAGGTGGAGCTTGGAGGGGGGTGGGTGGAGCTTAGAAGGGGGCGGTGTCTCACAGGTGCGGGAGGGGGTGGTGCTTGGCCTTGATTGGACGGGTATGGGAGCTTGGATTTGATAGGCCTAGGAGATATATTGAGAGTAATTGACGTGGACGTAGGGATGTGACCTCGAGTTGATTGGTTATGGGTGGAGTATATGGGATGAAAATGGATGTCAATATGGAGAGAGAGTTAATGGCTGTTTGGAGGTGTGTTTTTGAGTGTATCACTTGCACATTGGCTTGTGGGTGTGTTATATGCTGTGTACAACTGCGCGATTGGGCAGGGTGTCGCTGACATGTCGGTGACATGAAAAAAAAAAAAGATTTTTGGGGTGATTGTAGTTTCTATTGGATGTTATAGACGTATACTCCATTAACCGCATTTTGCTCGTATTTATATGAGACTTCCAGTATGAATAATGTGATTTGACAAGAGAGAAATGGAAGGTGGGGCAGCAAGCACGTATCCATCAACTCTCATTGGTTGAATTGGTGAATTTCTAAGTCGAATGGTGTAGTGAGGGCCCCACCTCATATTATTGGTTGAGTTTACATCGAAAAAAAGAGTTATCACTCACCTGAGCATCGTCGAATCAGCAGCAGCAGAATATAATGTTTTCCGCCATGAGGGAGGGGGTGTTCAGGCGGCTGGCATTGCTTCCCTGCTAGGTACGTTCAATTTATCAGCACCAGAATCAGCATATTTTTCTTTGCACATGTATTTCACTGTTTTCCAAATATATTCATCACACTCTCTTCCTCTCCCCCTCCCTCCCTCCCTCCCCTCTCCATGAATAATGTGCAGAACATCTCTATCAAAAAACGAAATAATGAACAACACCCACTCACTATTTCGACATATGCTTCAGACCTGCGTATACACATAGTGGACCAAAGTGGGATGAAACAAAAACAACAATGAGAATTATGGAAATATTACAGCACATAACGACGTAACCTCGTTGACTGACTGACGTAGACTGACGAAATCACCTCGGCTACATCTGATTTGAGCAGTTTGGGAATGCGTGCGCACTTCACAAGGATAAGTCGAGCATTCACGAAGAAACATAAACAAATACACGATGATGATGATGTTTCTATTTGCCAATCCTGCCACTCCTGGCAACAAACACTCCTGCCATCTGCCTCTCCACCAATCAGACTCACCTGGTATCTACCACCCCTGCCATCAGACCCACCTGCTACCTGCTACCTTCCACTCCTGACACCTGCCACTCCTGACAACAAATACTCCTGCCACCTGCCTCTCTACCAATCAGACTCAGCTGGTACCTGCCATCGAACACTCCTGCCATCAGACCCACCTACTACCTGCTACCTGACACCTGCCACTCTTGAAATCTGCCACTTGTGCCACTCCTGCCACCTGCCACTCCTGCAACCTGCCACTCCGGCCATCTATCTGTCCTGCTACTTGACACCTGCTTCCCCATTCCTGCTCTCTGTCACTCCTGCCACCTGCCACTCCTGCTATCTATCTGTCCTGCTACCTGACACCTGCTTCCCCATTCCTGCTCTGTCACTCCTGCCACCTGCCACTCCTGCTACCTGCTACTCCTGCCATCCATCTGTCCTGCTACCTGACACCTGCTTCCCCATTCCTGCTCTGTCACTCCTGCCACCTGCCACTCCTGCTACCTGCCACTCCTGCCATCTATCTGTCCTGCTACCTGACACCTGCTTCCTCATTCCTGCTCTGTCACTCCTGCCACATGCCACTCCTGCTACCTGCTACTCCTGCCATCCATCTGTCCTGCTACCTGACACCTGCTTCCCCATTCCTGCTCTCTGTCACTCCTGCCACCTGCCACTCCTGCTATCTATCTGTCCTGCTACCTGACACCTGCTTCCCCATTCCTGCTCTGTCACTCCTGCAACCTGCAACTTCTGCATCCTGCCACTCCTGCAACCTGACACTCCTGCCACCTAGTTCTCCTACCATCAGACTTGCTATTTGTCACTACTGCTGCCTGTCGCATCTGCTATCTATCACACCTGCTATCTGATATTTATGCTCCCGTCCACTTCTCTCAACTGCCATACTATCTAAAATTCATTTTGCGATTATGAAGTTTCCTATCTGTAGGTATTTTACCAGCTTTATGACAGATGGCGTACACTCTATCATTGCTTCTTCTTGTTCTGAAACTCTCATAAGTCATCTCTATCAGTAACCAAGTTTTGTTTTCTTCCACGCATATGTTTTTCTATGAAGATGAGCGCATTTCTATTAGTGCCCCATGGCCAATGAAAAAGCTATTCTCATTTTCTTTGTTTTATTTGGTCATGAAATCTATACACTTCGATTTTTTTTTGATACTGATGAAACACCCCTGTACATATAAATATATATATATATATATAGAGTGGTCATTGATGAGTTCAAATCATAGCAATTTAGTGAAATAAAGTTTCCTGGCCCTGACCTATAGTTTTGGAAATCCTTGAACCTCCGAATTTCACAACTTGCCTCACCTCGTGATTCACTTATGATGAAACAAGACATAAGGTAATATATCGTAGACACACGACAACTCCAGTTGCCTATAATATGCTCTTTCGTATACTTTTTGCGTTATTAACAATATATTCGAGGATTCAAAATTTTGAAATGACTAAAAAAGAGTGGTGAAACGGAATATATAATTGTTTTTGATCTAGCTATTCCATAATAATTCTTGGAACTTCAGCTGTAGGTAACGAAGACAGTGGAGATAACCTATGATGATAAGATACGAACTTGACATACAAAAGTAGATGATGAAAACATTGATTTGAAATTCATGAAATAATTTCGGAATAAGTTGTAATGAACAAACCGCCGTTTAATTGAAACGGATATCAGATTATCGATTATCAGCTGATAAAAGAGTGAAAGAGCCATTCAAATAATAAATAATGTCAGTTACTTTCAAAATTCCTCTGCTACACATCACCATACATGTAGGTATTTTGAGTATTTTATCAAGTAGGTGGAGATTAACAACACTGGTATGGAGTGCACTTTTCAATCAAATACTCGAATACAGTCTCTACCTATATATCTCTCAAGCGCTTGTAAAAATGAGCGTCAATGAATAAATACAACTTACTGCCAACATAATTAAAAAAATGACATTATTGATGCGTCAATCAATAAATACAACTTAGTGTCAATATGATTATTTTCAAAAACAATGGGGACTGGAATGAACAAACATTCAAACAAACCAAGGATTCGACACAACTATAATATTTTGCTTGTTAGTATGACAGAAAAAGAAGAAATAATTAGCAGGGTATGAAAGCAACAGGGCGAATAAAAAAAAAAGCGAGCAATGACACAACGTTCACCCCATACAATGGCCAACAAGTTGATAATTTTTATTTCAACAATATGAAGATATACTTTCTAGAAATCAATATTATCAGATCTCCGCTTCCTCACCAGAGTAATTGAAAAACAAACTGCAGTTTACCTTAATGATCCTTGATTGAATTTCTGCAGTGGTCAATGTATTTGGAACAAAAAGAAAGATGGTGGTCAATTTCAAAAATATTCAATTCAGAAACCTATGGAGAAAACCGTATTTTTGGGGTAAATGATGATGGAGATATATAGGATTTTTATACAGGGCTTTTCTATATGTGACGAAAACAATTTTTTCCCCCGATTGGCAGTAAATATCAATTTTGCTGACACATATCAATCAGCAAAGTATTACCTTTCCTGCCTAGGCAGCAAAGTCGGTACTTTGCTGCCTAGGCAGCAAAGTGGTTACTTTGCTGATTGATATAAAATTTGTAAAATTTGTATATCGCTACTTCAAAGTTGGGAACCAACTCCCCAGAAGTCGAAACTTGTGCGTGGTTAGGAAGAGCGGGACCTACAGCTCATAGTGGAATTCGAACCACTTCTAGGGCATCGAGGTGCTGCCAGGATTACAACCATGAATCACACATTTCAAAGAAAAATGCTCAGTCGACAGCCTATGTATCAGCAAAATTAATAATCCATAAATCGTTTATAATTTCCTTCATATTTCATCCAAGACTTCTCCGGCAACAAATTCAACTCCATATTTTTGCCACCTCCCTCATATCTGGAGGTCTAAGTACTTCCAGATCGCTATCACTGTCCATTATATAATAATTCAAATAATCCGATATTTTTTCGCACAACTGTCAGAAATTTCATGAATTGTCAAGCTATATAGTTATTATGGACATTTCCATAGCAACCAACCATCCAACAACTGCGATTTGTATCAAATTTTATTTTAATTGAACATTACAAGAAAAATAAAGAGATATATATCATTATGAACAATCGGAGAAAAAATTATATGTTCAACTCGGCAGCAAAGTAGATTGACTGGCGAGGCTGAATTCATAGCCGAGCGTAGCGAGGCTAGGAATCCAGCTACTTTGCTGCCTAGTTAAACAAATAACTATTTCCAATTTGATGCTATCTAGTGTGTGAATGAGAAAATTCTTTCATTATTATCGGAATATACAAGTTTCCTGGAAGAGTCGATTTGTTCAGGAAGAAGAATAACAGATATTCTGAAGATATCATGAAGAACTCGTATTTTTCATAGTTACCTGCCAAAATTATTAAGAATACATAATAAAAGGAACCATGCAAGTTTCTCATTCTGATTCATGTTATAGAATGTTAATGATATTTCAGTATCTTTAATTCTAGTTCATTGAAGAAAATATATGATTTGCCTGAAATTTTGGCTAAGCATGATGTCAAACAGACTATTATAGGTGCCTACTTTTATAAATTACCTACCCAGATATTTCTGATATAGATTCAACATATATGAATATACGTTATAGCAAAATGTCCAGAATAGACATACCCACGATATTGTGGATTTTTTGAGTAATAAAAAAGTCGTACAATTAGGAGTCTGATGGAAAAGAGTATAAAACGCTTTTTGAATAATTGGATACATATTCAATTTGTACCTAATCACAGGTAGTAGTAAAGCTGTTTATATAATATCTTGACACAATAGGTAATATAGAAATAGTGGCACCACGTAAATATAGAAGAATTCCGCGGTGGGCTAAACTAGTTCATTGTTACCGGGCGATCTTTATGATACCTAACTTGCGGGGTGAAATTGAGGGAGAGCCAGAACCGGCCTATTCTAAGCTAATCGCAGGGCTCGTGTGGTCAGGTTCTATTGAATTCCGAGTTCGAATTATCTACTCCGTGAGGACATTTAATTTCGAGGTGTTCTTGTGAGAGGATCGACTGCGTTATACAAGGAAGAAATTATTATTCTCTCAGGTAAGAATACTATAAAAACTTTGTTTTTTTATTTAATATCGATTCCTATTTAGCTATTTGAATAGAAAAGGTAATAGTTAAGTATATTCCTTTATCGGTAGCGCTTTCGATGATAGATTATCTCACAAGGGTGATTCAGAAAATTCTTTCCTCACCCGTTTCTCTATAAGATTTTGAAATTCAGTATTTGGTGGTTTGAATTGATACCGGTTTCATAAAAATATGTTCAGCAAAATGATCACTGCCTCCGGTAATACCGAATGTAGATTCCAGGTTATCATATCATTTCAAAAATGGAATATTCTGTAGATATATCTCATTATTTATGGAATCTTTTTCCATTTCCACTGAAAGTTTGTTCAATGTACACAAAATTTCGAGAAAAAACGATATTTCAATTGATTTTTTCCGCTGCCTCTTTAAAAATCACTACTTTTCTCGTACATAGAAGAAGCGCGAATGGAGTGAACTTTATACCGGAATAGTCAAGTGTAGGCCATATAATACGGATACTTCAACAGTTTTTTTCATTCCTTCAAAATTTCTTTCAATACCTGATCTGCACATAATTGATTATACCTCTTTTTAAATAAATCCTCGCTCTATTTTAATTTCATATCATCTTGATCGGATTTTAATTCTGCCTCGATTCATATCAAAACCCCTATATAACGCAAAAGATTTGATTCCAATAGATAATATTGAATTGAATAGGTATAGGATATAATGAGCAAGTTTGAGTTGAAAAATTGGATAGATATTAAAAAATCAGAAGATTTACAGGGTATTCCATTTTAAAATAATAACACTGATATCTACTTTCGGTATAACTTCAGCAGTGACCACTTGCTGGAAATATTTTCTATGAATGAGAAATATGTAAGATGTTTAATCTTTTATATCCCCGATTATTTCACAGAAGGTAACTCGGTATGGAGCATAAGTATGGAGCATGAATCACGTTCAGGATCTATCTTTGATAATTTTGGATTAAATAACGAATCAAAATTCAAATTAACGTTCATTTCAACATTCTGGTATGAAATATAATATATACCAAAATGTTTTTAATAATTATATACAGGTAAATATCTCATTCATTAGTGTAAAACTTTCAAAACTGACTGAAATTTTAAAATATCTCACAGTTTCGTGACTAGTAACACAATAAAAAATAACGTATGACTGATATGGTGTGGTGGTAGGTATATTCATCTGGCTCTTCAGTAAAGCACCTGACAGAGTACATTTCGAAGAATTCAACAATATATACAGAATCTATCAGTTTTTATTGTTTCTAAATCAACAAAACTTCACAGCCTCCTATCAGGTTATCATTCATCAGACTGATAATATCTTCAAAACATATGATCCATACATAATGAATGATTCTTAAATATACCTCGAAATAAAACCTGTTGACATGATATCACGGATTCCTGGAATCACAATAATGAAAATGACTGGACCAGACTTATTAACTCTTCATACCAAAACTCGCCATTGAGCAGCTATACCTGTGTTGATTATTAAAAATTAATCAAAAGGGAGAG